TTAAAAATTAATATTATTTTAAAAACAAAAAAAAAAAGCATTTAATCTGTCTTACTTCTGCTACTTCTTACTTCTACAGAAAAATTTAAAAAGTATGGGAAAAATATGTAAAAAAAACATTATCGAATTTTTCGTATAAGGTTATTGTATACATTATAAATAATGTGCTTTGAAGAGATAATAATATCACCTAGTCAATAATACTAAGACATGGTATTTATTGTGTTATCACAGTTATTTTTATATATACATTTTTTTTTTGCTGCTAAGATACAGCCATAGCTTATATTTCAAACGATAGATAATAGGCTTTGTTAATATTTATCTACTATTATCTTGGAAGAATATGCCCAAAAAAAAAACAATATTAATTTCTAAATTCGTCTTATCAAACTATAAATTTATTTATATTTTAAAACGTATCTCTGTATGATAGTGAGATGCTCATTTCAAGGGGTTTATAAATAATACATAATATATACTATATATACATAAAGACCGTGAATTATGATATACACTATTGCTGATTAGATATAGTTAAGTAAAATCAGTGAGCAACTAAAAATCAAAGGCACAAATTATGAATGAATGAAGGGTATAGATGAACGTTAAATCTTATGATTAGAAACTGAATAACTGAATGATATATATAGATAACATATAAAATGTTTCTTACAGTAAGGATTAGAAAATCAGATATTGTATATTATAAAACCGTGTGCTCAGAAATATGAAATGAACGTCTGGTGAACTTTGATATATATATCAATTGTGCTTAACTGAAAGTGAAAGAAACTTAATATTTCAATTGTAGAATATTCGCAAAATGTCTATTATAATACTTTTATCAAAATAAGATCATTTTAACCAAGTTTAAAATAGAGTTATTAAATAAGAGAGAGCTAAGACCTCTAAGAAATCTGCTGTGTTGTACATATATATTCGTCTCCATTTTAAAAGTCTTTAAAAATTGCAAAAATCTACATCAAATAAGATTGTAATCTTCGAAACAGAAACAGGTTGTTATTTTTTCCATTAAAATCGATTATCAAATAGTTTATATACTGCAATCACAGTATTCTTTATCTGAAGTAGAGATTCTTTGTAATATGTTATAGATAAAGTTACTAACAACTGCTTTAATATTGTGCTATATTTATACAACTTAATAGATTTTTTTTGAATAACATAAGTAATTTTCCTTTTTCGATAACCCCATGCTAATACATATAATTGTAATATACCTATATGTTTCTTTAACTTGATTATTAAATTTAATTTAAAATAACATTGAAATAATATTTAATGTAATATTAGATTTAATAAAAACAAAAAAACTTGTTTGTTATTTTAATCAGGTAACTTGACAGTATTTGATAGAAAACCAACTGAGAGTCATATTACAATCTAAATAGTTTGTAACGATTAAATTGGTGAATATTTGACCTTTTGATTTTAATTCAATATTAAAAATATTAAAATACAAATGATTGCATCTGTAAAATTATTTTTTCATTATTTTAGTGCTGTTAACTGGCATTTTAATTACAATCTAAAGTATTAGTAACTATTAAATTGATGAATATTTAATTTTAATTTTATTTTTACCTTAAAAATATTAATATACAAATGATAGTATCTGTAAAATTATTTTTCCATTATTTTACTGCTGTTAACTGGCACAAAATTAATTTATTTTTTTTTAATTTTTTTTTTTAAATATTTTGATATATTTTGTATTTTCCCTCTTTCTTAATACTGGTGTATATGCAATGTTATTTTAATATTAGAAATGTTAAAATACAAATTCTAATATCTATAAAATTATGTTTCCATGTTTTTTAGTGCTGTTACCTGTTTCTTAATACTGTTTTTTAATACTATGGTTGTCGCTTCGGTGTAACATAATGTGCACCTTAACTTAAATTATTTTAATTAAAATTTCAATAAATGATTTACTTTATTTAAACTTAAAACTTATTTCATAATGTGATTTAACTTCAAACTTCAAACCCCTATATCTCGAGAAGTAATCAATATCGATATATAATGTAGCAGAAAAATTTGCACAAATTAAGTAAGTCTACTTGAAATCATTGTTAAGTGGGCTTGACTGGGAAATTGAAATCCCGCCATTTTTTTTATCCGATGCATATACTTAAGAACTTAATTTCCTGTAGCCTGAACCTAATGGCACAAATAATTATAGAAAAATTCTTACTTGAACAAAATTTCTAAATACGCAATTAATGAAGTGCATTTTATCGGTAAAAATTTTAAGTTCAAATTCCTTAAATAGCAAAGTAAATTTTTTTTACAGTCGTAATTATAATTACTTTATAGCTTTTTTTATGTTTTTATTTTTATTTTGCCTTAAGCACTTTGTGTGTGTAATTTACTGCCACGTAAAAGTACAATTACTTGAAATTAAGCACACAATATTTGCTCATTACACAATTCTATTTACAATCTTGATTTCCTGAGTGCGCGTTTTTTGTATCTCCAAAATATCGGAAAATGTTCATGTTCATGTCCGTGCTCATTTTATATTCAATACCGGATTGCGTTGGTCAAGTGAGTATAACCTTGACATTCGGTTTATTTCATTTATTAGTTTGTTTTATTTTATTTTCATACACACTTTTTAACACAATCTTTTGAAATGCACTGCATTCGGTCGGCAACGGCTTATATTGGATTCACACGAGAGTTTGGTTTGTAATTTCAGCTGTCAACTGTTGTTGTTGCTTTCAATGCAAAATGAAAATTTTTGACAGCTAAAATTACAAACAAAACTCTCGTGTGAATCCAGTATTAACCTCACCTTATGTGTAACGGACTAACTTACATTCATAGCAATAAAAAGAGTTACAAACATATATTTCATATACGTATATAAATCATGTTAGCTGTGTATGGTTAATTTCAAAATATCTAGCTTCGTCTTCTTCGTCAATCTTCTTCTTCATCTATTTTCTTCTTCTTCTTCCTCTTCATCTATTTTCTGCACTAGTTTCTGTTGGACTTGGCATTGCTAGTAGTCTCAAAAGCGCCTTATTAAATCCAACAATGCCTACTATTTTTTGCCAATTTTTTTCCCTCGTTTTTACATACATTTTTTTTTTTGTATACATACAGAAACATAGGCTTATATATATAATATACCAAAAAGCCGGTTTGCAAATTTAGCCTATGATTATTAACACTTTTATTTGTTCAGTTTTGTGAGAAGTGTAAAATGTGCTTTGTATTACAATTACTTCTATTGATTGATGGATTTTACGTTCGCAATGACGAGAAAACAGAATTAGTATTATTATTTATTATATGAGAAGTCTCATTAAATCTGGAAAAAGCTCATTAGTACAATAACTTTTCGTAGTACTTATTCATTTTATTGTTCAATTCAATTTTTAGCAAATCATGCTTGAGAAAGGTTAAATTCCAAGAATCTTTTTTATGGTAAGGCTGGCTATTTTTGGAATTAAGTGGAAACTATTATAGGTTTATTATACCCTTCATGCATTTATTTATTTTTATGTCGTAGTAGAGGTCTCTCCTAATAAATAACTACGGTTTTTATAAAAGAGACATCGTTGACATATGTATATCATCAATATATGTTTGATCAATTCGTTAGTATAAGATGATATAGAAATTTATATCTGTTTCTATATTGATTTGAGCTAAACCTGTACAGTTCTCTCCCATTAAGTGAATTAAGGTATTGTCAGTAAAAATGGAAGTAAAAATAGATATGTTCTCTTTATAATCAATCTAAAGAAATATTGCAGAAATAGGTAAAATTATAATCTAACGATGTTAGTATATTGCAGGAAATGCAAAAAATCTTTCCAGCCAAGGAAAGACTTCAATTTTTACTAGGTTACTTTCACATTACTTTAGATGGGTTTTCATTACTATTACTATCGTATAATTTGCAATATTTCCGAATGATTTCAATTTTTTTTATCTGTTATTACTTATTATTCTTTCGTATGATTTTGCATACCTTTTGGATGATTTGTCATTCCTTTAGATGATTTCTTATTCTTTCGGGTGAATACTTGATGTCTTCCCTATTATCACTTCTTATTTTTGCAATTGTTTTTTTTTTTATTTAACATCTTTTTGGATAAAATCTCATTCTTCATCTTCTTTGTGATTACTTTTCCTTCTTCCGAATAACTTCATCTTTTTTGTGATTACTTCTTGTTCTGCCGGATAACTTCATTTTCTTTGTGATTGCTTCTCATTCTTCCGAATAA